CTGAGAAGTTAAGACGACCGTTCAATTTAATTGGCAATTGTTGCTTGTCATCGGCTCTTACTTATCCTGATACGACGAACTCTAAAGATGTTCATTTCAAAGAAAATTCAAGTTCGTCCTCGACTGCTATGATAACATGAATACGAACCGAAATTCCATTCCCCTACACATGAAGACATATCATTAATGGCGTGGCCACAAAGAACAAAAAAACTAATTACATTGCGTCATCGCCGAGTAATATTATGACTACGAATATAATATTGTCGCCAACAAGGCCTACTTGTTTACGCCCGAAAATACTACCACTGGGCCACAACAGCGTTCCAACTTGAAGTCCTCAACCGCAGTCGACAGTTTGACAAATAATGCGATGGAGAGAGAGAGAAAGCTTCAACATAAGTGCTTCATAGTACTTTTTTTGTTATAGAGTATGAATAAGCACAAAACAGTATTAAATATCACACAAAAGGCAGCGGGTAATAATAAAAAACATGTCAAGCCTGATTTTGTTCTGTGTTCAATCTACCACAACATCTACTCCTTTAGTTTCGCAGTGCATGTAGTTAAAGTGAATCCTTAGCTGATATCTTCCTCCCCTGGGATTTCTAATTACTCAATCATAGCGTCATATCTCTTCGTGTGACCCGGCTTCTATAGTAACCTGGGTCAAGCTATAATTGCTTTTCAAATTTAAAAGGTTGCCCCGGTGACAGTCATTTTAATATTCCGCCCTTCATTTTCCTAATGTCGACAGATTTTGCTTGATCATTTGACAAAACACTTTAAATTTCCAAAACGTGTACTAGTTGTATTCAATACATTATTATTATTAAAAAGAATGTCCTTATAATTATTTCATTCCAGTTACCCTATGTCCGCGACTCTGATTGTAAGGGTTCAAAAAGTACCTACATGCACGAAAAAACTTATAGCTTTTGATCGGTGATATTGAGTTGGGGAAGGGGTGCACCATCCAGTGAACCAGTCATAAATGTCCTCGACTAGTTTTTGAAACATATTTCATGAGAATAATATTGTGAGAATCATTTTAGCAAACTTGTTCTTTCTGCGGAGAAAAATACCATTATTTAACTACTAGGCGATGCTAATGATGATACGTGTAAGTACAGAGAGACACGCACAAGGGATGATAAAATCAGTCTGCACGTACGAGTTGCTATTTAATTAAAAGACTAACAACCCACTAGTATTTTATGGGTTGCAAGGTTTTTGCGAGCATCCCCAAAGCGCTTGTCGGTTTACGTGTCCTGTAACCGATATAGCACCGATAAGGCACCGTGCTTGGATAAAGACGTACCACGCGTGTCAATATGTCACCTCTTTTATTGCTGGGGTGACGTGATCAAAATTGAGAGAGGTCGGCAAATATGATGTGTGCGTGTGAAGTTTGTCAATCCGTCGAACAATGACATCGTTCCGTTAAGTTCTTCACATAACATTTTTGACATTTTTAATCAGTATTCATAACTCTGGGCACTGAGAGCCGTACGTCTTGCAAACGCAACGACACGTGTATTGGGAAAGTCATTCAAGGCATATTAGAAATTAAATAGAATTCGAAAACTCTATTATTACTAGCCGCAGATGATATGCAAAAAAAAATATTTTCATTGGAAACTGAGACTTTAAAAGTACCGATTTGTGAAAAAGTTGGAATTCTAAACGAAATGCGTAATTTACTCTCACACTTATCAAATCAGTCGCGCCACTTTTAGCGTCAGATTTGTTTTTATCACTTACTAATTTGGCGGGAAAAGTTCACAGCCGAAAGTGCAGCTAGAAAATGCAAAAGTGTATTATCGAACGGCATTGTAGCATGAAGTGGTACACTGAAGCCGACTGCATTTTTCTCCCCTTTTCACGTCTGTGTGCTTTGGGACAATTAATTATTTCATTAGTATCATTAGCGAACAAAAAGAATATTTGCAAGGTTCTAGCAATAGCTGTCGTCTGGAGACTCGGCGATTTGTCCCCGAAGACCGTACCCCAACAAGGGATGGAATATCAGTAATCGTATTAGATACACTAGTGCGCACTAAAAGCTCTGAAACAATACCAGTCTCAATTATTGGGGATTGCCGTGAAATGGTCGCTTAAAGAAGATTGGACTATTTTCGAGATAATTTCCTCCCTACAGACTTGGCACTACCCGGTATCTGATCACTTAGACAGCTCGTGAAGAAAAAAAAAAAAAAACGAAGACCGGCCATACTTTGTCGCGCGCCGCGTCGTTCACCGCATAAATACGGCATCACCACTGAGTAGTAGTGCAGATGATCCCAAACGCGATCTATGTACTCAGTCTCAATTTAAGTGTACAAGTTTACACCAAGTGATTAACTTGATCACAATCTGTATGTATTCTCGAATAAACAAGTCTTGCGAATCCTTCCCGACTGTAACCGATTTAGCGATTTTTTTTAACGAAGCACGCAGTTCAATTTGAGTTGGCAGCATAGGATTTGATACTACGCGTGACTTCGCGGTGTGATTTTGACCGGCGTGCATCTGAACAATATTTCAATAAATCAATCACAAATCACAGTAGGATTGATATAATCTAATTCAAATTTTACAAGTGATTAAGCTGATTAATTATAAGGAAATCTGGCGCGTGGTGGAAAGTATTACCAAACACACACTTTGAAGTTTCATGAGCATATTCTTATATATATGTCGGACATAACGCATTCATGAAAAAAAAAACCTGCATAGTGTTTACATTGCTACCAAACGCAATACAACAACGTTATACGCCAGTTATCTAAAAGCGTGATAGTAATCGGGCAAGGTGAACACCTTTGCTATTACAGATTTAATACACTAGGATTTTTTCAAAATATATTATTTACTTATTGTAAAATGCTATGGTGTCTTTCGCAAAATAACTTTCTTTCGTTTATAATGTGATGTCACTTGGTAGGTGTATATTTAAATTAGTTAAGCTGCTGTTCTAAATCGATAAAATAGCCACAACTTAATTTTAAATAAGAATGGACGGCACGGGGATCATACAGTACATTTGCTATACTTGGGTATTGTCGGATAAATACCTTTAACTCCCATCTTATTATTTTAAATTTTGCCGTGCGTTTTATATATCTGATTTGGGACTTGTAGTGCGGGGGCTTGTAACCACTTGTAGTGAGAATCAGTGAGACTGGCATCATTGTAACTTTCAACTCAAAAAGTCTGACGTTGTTGATTTCGCGTTTTCATTTCCCGCTATTCGTCTTCGTCTAATTGCAGATTTGAAATCGCTATTTCGTCAATAGTCGTTTTTTTGGATACGCACTTACCATATTATAAACTTTGATAATTTGATTGGAGCTCGAATATTAATATATAGGTCAATCTAGCTATACTGTATTCTACTAGAAACAAACAATTGAATGAAAGTACTGGATTTCAAGTTACACGGTTTTTAGGATTGACGTCTCGAGGGTCAGAGGAATTGTGAGAGACGTCACGTACTCTCCGCTATCTACAGTCAATATTTCATTGTGAAAGCCCACCTAATTTACTACAGGAGGAAGTCATAAGCGACCGCGGTTGACCCACCATTAGCAGTTTAGTGTTAGAAGTTAATTCCTTCCTTTTGCGGGAGATATTACACCCTGTCGGTTTTAACAACGAACAACTCACTTCTGTGTATCGCCCTTTGACAATATGCACTCCCTGGAATCTTATCTTTCACCCGAGTGACTAGCACCGCTGGGAACGCGGCACCAACCTGAAAATGCCATTCGGTGTAAAAACCGGCGGCGCGTAAGTACGTATACGTGCACCGATCAGGCAATGTGGCCGAGTGAGGGCGCTGTTAACAATCCTCCTGAGAACGGCCACTGTGTAAGTATCGTGCAGCGCGAGTGATGTTAAATAAAAGAAGTTGTCATTTACATGATTCAAATCGGTTATTGCTAGGTAATGACGCACCGATATTACAACAACAACACCATTAACACAATAATGTGTTTAATATACTCGCCATAGGAATAACGCCGCTGTACGCGCTAAAGCGGCAGTTGCAATGATTAGTCGAATAGAACAGTTATCCAAATTTTATAAACAATCGCGTCGTTTCTTAACTATGGTATATTTATTTGCTTACCGCGCATATTAATATAATTACTCTACGCCCGAGAAGAAAAGCCGTGGTCGATGATAACCAAGAACTCGCATCGCCATGACACGGAAATATGGTGTACACATGCCAAAAATACAAGATTTATAGTAATTGTTAAATACTGAATGGGAGTAGTACGTGGTGGTCACTCACAAACCACTCCGTAGATGCTACATCGTGTATTTTCCACGAATGGCGATGACAGGGCCATGTAACGAAATATATCGCTTCTGTACTTGTCTCGCCGGTATACGAATTCATAGTTTATTAATGCTAAGTATATTTAAAAGAAATGTGGAGCTTCAGCATATACTACGCATTTTTTTTTTTCTCGAGAATGCATTTGATTTTCTGGTGTGATGAGCTTGTCAGTTACTCGGCTCTGATGGTTATACAAGGAGCAATTGCGCGTGGTTGTTTTACACGGAGCTGTGAAATGAAATGTAGTGATTTTTTTTTAAACAAAAGAGCATAGAAAGAGCTCTGGGGCTTGCTCGATGGGTACAGTGTATCTACTATGCGAAGAACAAAGTGTAGATGGCGTGAATTACGCGCCGATGATGAATGAGGACACTTAGCTGGCGATTCGAAATCTCTTCCTTCAGCTTGCTCGGCAAACGATTTAAAAGTGGAGAGGGAGACAAACTCAAAACACACATAATATAATTGGTCGTTTGCTACCGAGTCTAAAGAGTATTTCTGGACAGTGTTTGGTAATGCCAACGATTCAGCGCTTAGGAGCTGTCAGCCAATCAGATGGAAGCGATTAGCTTCGGCGTGTTGATCACGGATTGTGAATTATCATCCGAACTCTTTTTACTGGGGCGGCCTGTCACTCTTCTGAAAGGACGTCACCAATTTGTACGTTGCTTATCAGTGTCGCATAATAGACATTGTTGAAATCTTACCACCCCCCTGTGCGGAGTGCATCTCCCTTTTCATAGTGGTACATAACGAGACTGTCCGTCCGGTGTCCCCGGCATTCTGACTCTCGACGACATTCGTACAAGTTCTTTGTTTCTCCGGGAGCGTATTTGGCTGTCACGGCTTGTGTTGATCTGTTGCACGGGTGTACTGACATTTCGCCATACACGCCGTTTGAGCCACGATGCAGTCTTCGCAGAGTTCTCTAACGCCATTCTCAATCAGCGATATTCTAACTAAACGGGAGTCCACAACGGCCAATCTATGCTTATCTCATCAAAACAACGCACATCAGAGGCAGTCAACACCAACAAGCCCATCGTGGTCTGCGGAAGTGTATCAAGACGACGATCACTGTGCCGTCAGGGTGTCCGGCGAGCCATGTACCATTGACCGACACAGGAGCCACTGCGCACCAGATAGTGAGAATGAAAGTTCGATACACAGCCCAGGTATTACTCTAGATGATGTCATGGTCGAATCACCGAAATCTGAAAACAGAGAAAAAATTGATGAAATGTGTCACACTACTAACGAAGGTAAGAATGTTAAGATTCTTTTTCACTTGATGTTTGAATCAACCCAGGGAAAAAAATAGGTTTATTTTTTCCCATGTAGGTTTCGTTTTTTAAAAATGAAGATAGAATTTGACCATGCATATATTGTATCTTATTCTACAGGAGACGAAGGCGCAGGGGCCATACTAAAGTCGGAAGAGCATCAACTACAGACACCAAAACAACGCAAAAAGAGATCAAGAGCGGCTTTCTCACATGCACAAGTGTTTGAACTTGAAAGACGTTTTAACCACCAACGTTATTTATCAGGCCCAGAACGAGCTGATCTCGCCATTGCTTTGAAACTCACTGAACAGCAAATAAAAATATGGTTCCAGAACCGAAGATACAAAACGAAGAGGCGACAGCTGCAAGCGGCGGCAGAACTCTCCGCGCCAATGTCGGCGAAAAAGGTCGCAATTAAAGTACTCGTGCGGGACGACCAGAGACAGTACACACCGGACGATATGTTCAGGCCGCCTTTCACGTACAATATGCTACTTCCCGCATACGGCTACCACATACCCCCAAGACCATACCCGGGACCGCTTTTCTCAAACCTGTTATGTGCCGACGGTAAATTTTGAGGAGATGATTTGGACACGAAAGAACACGATGGTTACTTCTTGCCAATTTAACTTATATAATTTAATTAACTTTGGACGTTGGCGGAATCCCACCCTTAAGCTGTGTGCTACCAGTCACGCAGTTAAAATCTGTAGATATAGATAACGTTGTCAATTCACTGGTTATTGTATTGTTTATATCGTGGATGAACCGTCTGCTTTGCACCTGATAGGTACTGTGGGCATGTTATATATCATTAATTGCTTAAACATAGCGCAAATATGAAAAGTTCGATTTTTATATAACATTGTTGTTTCTTGCGATCGACATCTGTAAACTGCTTTATCTTCGTTGGCGAGCTAAGCCAACATTCCATGTCAAACAGACCCCACTTGTCGTATTATTTTGTTTACAACATAAAAAAACAGCATATCGCCTCAGACACATGTGTTCAACACAGGGGTAGTGGAATACTAATCCGAGATGTATAAAGTACAGAGACCGTAAAGGAAATGTGCATTACCCGGCACACGTACCACAGGCATTTCTTTTGTGTTATAGCTGTCCGTTTCTAAGATTATGTACATGTATCTTTCAGATTAAAATTAAATGGGATTATTTTTCTCTCACTGTATATGGTGTAATTCGCCTGGATATGTCCTGCGGTTAGTACACCCACAAATCCGCGATAATGCGGAGTAAGCTAATTTCCCGTTATAGTTATGGTTAAAAAAATCTTCTAAACCCGTATGAACGTATTATATATCTGACTCAGGCTAGCATGTCTTTTCAAAATTTGACTTCGTACGTAATGATGATGAACGTGTGTCTTTTATGATAACCGATTATTATCGATGTGCGGTTTGAAATTGTCCAAGAAATTGTTTGTTTTTTTTTTCGCTTGTTTTGACTCTTAAACTTGTACGGTGGGGGGAAAATTAGCTGAACTTAACCAATACGGTTTTGGTAAATGGCTCACAATTATGATTTGGGTTATCGGAAAATCAATAATCTATGAAGCTTACACTTCAGAGTTCTTGTCAAAGGATAATATTTATTATTGACTTGTTAAATTATTAATATTATTGATTCCCCCCTCTCCTGTTATATTAAAAACATGCGCGACAATAATAATGCACCGATAAGAGCGACGTAATGCCACCGGAAACATTTGTTCATTCACACCATGACGCTCCATAAGGTGAACACTAATAACACGAGATGTTTACATCACTTCATTAATACGGCCACCTTAATGTCAAATTTCCCTTCAAGGAGAAAATACCAGCAACGGAGAGAGAGAGAGTGTATATCTGGGAAAATTAAATTATGAGTTGTAATCGGCTAACCAAATAAATGAAACACCGCATGTAAGCGGTAATGTACAACTTAAGTCTGATTATTTTCTACACAAAGCCTTCTAACTTCTACGTTCCATGGTCTATTGTTCCACCAGCAAAATGACATTAGCGGACTCATGGTGCACCCAATAGCCGTTAATAGGGGATTCAGTCATTCCCTTAACGGTAATATTCCAGGCATATGCCGCTACGAAAATCTAAAGCGAATACAGTAGCTTTAATCGCAAAATAACGTTGCATTATATTTTAATTTTAATGAAAAAAGGATTTCCTTCAATTTAATCAGGCAAAGCCTATCCCCGCAGATTTCTGGCAGTTGGGGTCGCGATGACTGCTGCAATGGGTCTCCACTCGACTATAGGCTCATTCCACAGTCGATGATGCCGTTCCCAACGGGTGGCCGCCTCAGTCTATGGCGCGGCGATGCCATTACGCGAGTTTCTGGTCGAGTTTCCGTGAAAGGAAGGATGCGAGTCACTCGAAGTCACTGTCAATGTCCATTTCATCAAACACGTCAGCGTTAAATGAACACGGAACGCGGAAAGCGATTGTTGTAAACTGATCCTACAGTTAGTGAAAATATCGACACACTGAAACATTCATCGCTTTCGGGTTGTTGTAATAACACGATGTACTTTTGAAATCATTGGAAAATCGCTTTTAAGTCATTGCCTTGGACAGGCTTTTAGCAATGCACGTAACCTGCTTTGTCTACAGGCGTTGAAGTGAATGACTGAAGTCAATTTAATAAGGACCATGCGAGTCAAAAGAGCGTCGGTACTTGGTAGATTGAAGACGGACAACAATGATCATAATGTCTATATATTCGCCATTAATAACGCTCCGGTAAACTTTCCGATGATAATCAACCATACGCAGTTTCATCGGTTCCCAGACTTAATTCTGAAAAAAAATATCAAATATGTCTCACATGACGATTAATGTATATTAGGTGAATTGCTTTTTTTTAGTCATTTTTCAATTTCTTTTGCGAACTTAGTCTTAGTGATACCAGTCACGCTTATACCACTATACTGCCTGACTTTCGTTTTTTCT